ATTGTGGATTAATTGATGTTTAAATGTATTTTTATTTAAATTCATCAATTTATTGGATTTGTGGTTTGTATGCATCGGTATGGGACGGTGGCATACTAGGGATGGATTAACTCAAAACGCTAAATCCTACGTACTTTGAAATAAGGGAATAGATTAACTTTAAAAATTAAGTCCTACTTATATTTATGTCAGGTCAACAAATAATTGGTTGACATTACTTTGGTTTGGATGGATTTTAAATATATAGTTATGGTACCTCGATATGAGCTTGAGTCACAAGATCGACGGTTAAGGAGCGTATATGCATTGGGATGCATAACTGGCTATGATGGTTGGAGATGTACCCTGTTAAGTCTAGGTAATCATCCCCACTTCAAGTGCATTTTGCATGTTGCCTACTAGTCAGTTTGAGATCGGCCTGTAGTCCAATAAGAGTCCCTTAGTGTGGATTTATATATATACTGAAAATTAATAATGGGCCAGGCCAATGAGCAAGTTCTACTCTACTACAATTCAAACAAAGACCCGATACGCATGTACATCCTAAACAACTCAACAATAACTATATAATCCGTATATATACATATATATATATATATATATATATATACATATATATATATATTAATTTTCAGGTGTTCATCAGTTCCAGGCTTAGAACTTGTTCGTACTGAGCAGAGACAGTCACTCATTCTTCCAACAACGTAGGATTTCTCTTCATGGTTTAGCTTTAGATTTTATTTCAGTTGTTTATTTTTCAATTTGGGATTATATTAGTGGTCCACTAGATGAATTCCCGAGTTATTTAAATATCGGAGGTTTTGGGATTATTGGAATTTAATTATTTAATTTTGAAGATTATATTTTAGAATTCTTTCAGCCTTTATTAGTTATTTCTTATTAATATTTTGTATTCCATGGTCAGCCTTTATTAGTTATTTCTTATTAATATTTTGTATTCCATGGTCATTTATATACTTAATTGTTTGGTATCCCTCGAATCTGTATTCGAACTTGATCACCCGTGGCTCTAAATTTGAGGGGTATCACACTTTTCTCTGGCTCCTCGATCAGGTCAGTGTCAGCACCTTCTCGTCACAACGGATCCTGCTCATGCTCTCAAATCTGCGGGTAAAGAGTGTTTAGGCCAGAAGCCCTTTTTTGTTAATATACTTTAACCTGGCTTTCAAGTGATCGATCTCAAAATTAGAGAATGTGATAAAACAATGGATAACCAGGAATCACACACGACTTTAACAATATTGTAGTAATTAAAAACATATTCCGTTCCAAGCTTGTAAGGGTCGAGGTTCAAACTCCAATCGCAGTGGTGAGATTTGTGGGGTGGGCCCGGGGAAGCTATTAAGTAAACGATAGTAAACCTAAGGGTCGGAAAATCAGTCTCATTTGAAAGATTGAATCCTTTTTGAGTGCAGGAATATAGGCAGTTGGTGGAGCCTGCGCACTCATAGATATCAGTTGTTGCTTCTAGTTCCGAGCTCTGAGAAATAACTTACTATCATAAAACCCTCGCCCAGAGACTCCATAATTGATTATCTCATTCTTCGGCCTGATGAGGCTTCCAACAATGCCCTTGATTCGCGAAAACCAATCCGAGGTCGAGGTTGAAACCACTGAATTTCTCCTTTTTCGAATTAGATTACTACTACATATATAATTAGAAGTATAGCCAGCCATAGTTTGAGGTAAATATGAATACATCCATATTCATATGGAGGATATTGCTTGTATGCTTGGTTAGACAGCTCATCCATATTCCTTATTGTTAATCAAGTTTGGTTAGAACTTCTATGGGCTGGGGTCAACTATGAATACGAAATGAATAGAATCAAAATGTGAAGGGGGGTTCGCCTCGAGGAGTCCCCTCGCGGATCTATGTCTGCACCTTATGGCTATAGGAAGCAAATCAAGATAGAATATAGGTACGCCCTTTACTCAATTCCGGATCTCATATCCTGCTTGCTCGTCAAGCTTGATTCCCATTCCGTCTAGTCTGCTCTGTAGTTTTTGTAGTCTCGGCTATGTCTAGGCGCTTTTTGCCCTATTCAAGTCAAGTAGCTTTGAATGAATATTGTTAGGTGCTTGCTATTTGAGTTATCGATAGTTTCTCCGATGCTGCTATTATTCTTTCTTCTGTGTGGGTGAGTCGCCTGATTTTGCTTCTAGTCTAGTAAAGGGGTGGCAGAGCCATTAGAGCCCTCTCCCTTGGCGCTGCTCGGAAGGGAACATGAATCATATACTTAAAAGAAAACTTCTATCAAAATTAAAAGCAGACTCCAAGTACTTGGGAATTGGGATAAAGACTTCTCGTGTAATGGTTGTAATACTTGCTCTCGCACTAGTAGGACTCGCAACCCAACTCGTACGAACTTGAGCCTAGCTCAAAAAATTTCAGACTTGGGCAAATTGAAATTCTCTTCGGGCTTGAGCTAAAAGGTAAGAACTCGATTTCAAATCCGGCAGGGCTCAGTTACTGTGTCGGGCAACCCATTGCCCAACTTGAGTCATTTCCGAATTACAAAATCTGACAAACCCGAACTATGAAATCCGATATGTTTATATATATATATATATATACATTTTCTCTTTTTTGTTAGTTGCATGTGATTGGTTATTTAATGGGTTCACCTAGTTGTAACATATATTACATGTTGAATGTATTAGCTTGTCTTCGTTCGAAAAATGAAAATAAAAAAATTAGCTTGTTATTGGGTAAAGCCAATATCCCAGTTGTTTTAGTTGTGAAAAAAAGTTAAAGATTATTTTATTTATTATTACAACATGTCGTTGAAATTCAACCCAAAATTTTAACCTTAGAAGCAAGTCAATTCAACCCGATTTGTAAGCACAAATTCAACCCAAGCTTGAAAAATTAAGGATAAGTTGGGTTCGGATAAGTTAGGTCGAAATTCAACCCAATTTGTATTGAAGATTTTATAATTGAGGCTGAGTTGAGTGTTCAACTAATCCAGTACGGTGAGGAGGAACCTCTTTCACACCATAGATTTAAGTACAACGATAGAATACATTATTTTTAAGTTCAAAATAGATAAATATTAAATATTCTCCAATAACTTAATTGGTAAAACGTCTAACTCTCTCTCCCTACTTAATTGATTCGAAAAGAATAAAAAATGACAAATCATTTTATGTCACGTTAGAAAGTGAGAAAGTTCTTAATCACTAGTATGGAGGCATGTATGGTAAACAAAATTAGAGCAACTTTCACATTACAAGGATTAAAGGGAAAAAAACATTACAAGGATTAACAATTTATCAAGTTGAATTTTAGTTGAATTTTGTCTAGCAAGTTAAAGTATTGTATTTTTGACATATGTCATTTAAAAGAGACCATATCATCTACTCCATAAATAAAATAAATAAATAAAGAAAAACTCACCAGACTGATTACTAGGTTATTATTTTCTATCTTTCTTTGTTATTATTATTATTATTATCAAATCATAGACACAACCTAGAGATTTTTTTTTTTTTTTTTTTTTTTGGGGGCAATTAACAACCTAGAGTTAAAAGAACGACTAAAATGTTTTTTTCTCCCGGACTTGGATCCTTTAAATTAAAGATTTTCTAAATTATCGTAAGTTGAATTTTTTACAGAATGACATGTAACATTAAAAACCTATCTACTGCTGTGTTAAACCACGTCAACTAATTTAAAGAAACTTTAAAAACTGCACCGTTTTGAAATAAGAAAAATTTACCAAAGTTTAAAAACTGTACCGTTCTAAATTAAAGAAAATTCACCATATTCTGACGATGTTTAACATCGCTATCTCTCCCTCATCTTTTCCAAAAAAAATCCTCCCTCCCTCTCCTGTTTATTTAGAAACAAGTTGCGTCTCTATTTTTCTTTTAAATAGTAACAAATTTTAGATATAAATATTTTTTTCTAGTTGGTATTCACACAACCCCAGCGTCTCTGTTTCTCTTTTAAATGTAACAAATTTTAGATATATATTTTTTTTTTTCTAATTGGTACTCACACAACCCCGGTTCCAAAGGTTTGTCACATGAAATTTTTAGATTTTAAATTTTTTTGTCATTTTATTTTTTGATTTGGGTAATACAATAAAAAAGGTAATAGATCCGTTAAAGCAGAATTCAACTCAACCATAGGCATGGTTAATATCACTATAAATAGTCCTTTGGAACCGGGGTTGTGTGAGTAAAATGTAAAATCTAAAAATTTCGTGCAAACAATCCTTTGGAACTGGAGTTGTGTGAGTAATTAGGGAAAAAAATCTAGAATTTGTTACTATTTTTAAAAGAAAAACAGAGACGCAAATTGTTTCAGATATGAATAAAGGATGAGAGAGAGATAAGTTTAATTTAGAACGCTAACTTTGATAAATTTTTCTTATTTCAAAACAAAGTTTCTTTAAATTAGTTAACATGCTTTAACATCAGCAAAACTTACGATTACTTGAAAAATCTTTAACTCTCTCTCTCCCTCCCTCCCTCCCTCCCTCCCTCCTACCCCCTTCGCAAATTATATTTACACGCAACATACTATAAGTCACTCGTATCGAGCAAGTGCAGAACTAATACATAAATAAGCCTAGAAATATCCCACAAAAATTGTTGACTTCGATGGCTCGAACTTAGGACCTGAATTATCATCCACTAAAATAGATTACTAAATTATGAAACTAAAAAAAAATTATTCATTTGTAGCTTGAGTAATGATAATTACATGGATTTGTTGCATGGAATGTTTCTAATTGGTTATTTATACATAATGTATAAATGAGTTCGATTAAAAAAAATAAGTCTGACAATTTATTATAACAAATCACATAAATAAAGAAATTGGACCTTCCACTTATATACACTATGCATAAATATTCAATCAAAAACCTTATGTGCAAGGATCATTATTCTTTGCGCCTTTCACATAACAAGAAAATAAAACCAAATGCTTGACAAACGAAACATCCAAACAATAGCTCATTGAATAATGTCGATAAAAAAAACAAAAACATTTAATATTTATTAGCTCTAAAGAATCAAACAAATAACCATCCAATAATGTGTAAATAAAAATAGTAGATTCTAAAAGATATTATTCAATATTTATTATCACTAACGAATCAAACAAATCACCATCCCAAGATCAACGTATAATAACTCTATATATCGTAACAAAAGATTCATATACTCATATACTGAGAGATTATATATATACTATATCTAGAGAAGGTCTCTCCTGGCAGTGTACCCGAACTGAGCACGCCGGATGTTATCCTGCCGTTTCTTGTACACCAACCCGCCAAACCCGACGAGACATGCGGCGGCGATCACTCCGAACACCATCCCAGCCGTATGTCCACCTTTCGCTCCACCGGACGACTCCGCTTCCCCAGCATCCGCATTCATAGCATTCTTGACGCTAACAATGTGGTCATTAATCGGCGACGGAACCGGAGCCGGTGAAGTATTCGCCGGAGAAGGTGCCAGCGACGGCGTTGGAGACGAACCAGGACCAGGAACAGACGGCGGAGGCGCCGGAGGAGAACTTATTCCCGTCGAAGGCGAGGGACTCACCGGAGATCTGGCTTCTGGCGACAGAGACAATGGAGACGGAGATTTTGCGGCGAGTCGCGGAGCTGGAGCCGGAGCCGGATATGGAGACGGAGACGGAGATTTTCCGGCGCTCAGCGGAGCCGGAGCTGGAGCCGGTGAAATCTTCGGTGGATCTGCAGATACAGTGAGTTGCAGCAAAACAAGCCCTAACAGAAATGAGAGTGTTTGGAATTTCGCCATTGCAAAAAGATTTCTTTTTTTCTCGACCTGCTAACAAAATGATTAGCAATGTCTCTCAGATCTAAATAAAGCTTGATAAATGCAGCGTAGAGAGAGAAGAAGATCTCACAGAGGAAACGAAAGGCGGTTGAAAAAGCGTAGAAAGGGAAAAGTAGAGAGAGAAAGCTGACCTAGAGATGAGCGAGAAGACGGCGTGGGCCAGTGACGTATGGACACGTGGAGATGGAGCGAAATTATTGATCAAGGGAACACTAGATTCAAGGGATGGCGTAAAGGAGAAAGAAAAGGTGGGAAGGAAGGGAAAGGAATGGAGATTTGCTTCAGCGAGAAGAATGGTATGGAATTATTATATAGAAAAGGAATTGGAATTTGAAATTTAAATATGAAAAGGAAAAGAAATTGATATTTAAATTTGAAATATCAGTTCCTTTTCCTCTTAGTGAGAGAGAAGGAAATGTGAAAAAGTTTTGGGAGGAAAGGGAAGTGAAAATGAAGGAAGAAGAGAATAATGAGAGGGGGAATTGATGGAGGAGAAAGCAATGGAGGACAACAAATATGAGGATGGAGAAAGACTAATCGGTATTTCAGGAATATCTAACTGTAAAATGCTATTTAAATTTAATACGCTTTGTTGGAGAGGCCACTAATTTCGGCAAAATGCTATTTAAATCTCATAGGTTGGTCGAAGAAGATGTCAGTAATTTTGGTGCTAATAGTATTTTTATATCCAATAATATACTCATTATTTTCTTTATTTATAAAAAAATAATTCCCCTCCATTTATAATTTTCTATATGAAAATTAATGTTCCCTTCCCCAAAAATTTCTCAATGGTAAATATAGTTAATGTTGTTAGGAGAGAAATTTCTTTGGAGAGGATCATAGTTATTGCAATCCTTGCTCCAACATATTATTACTATATATATATATATAGATACACATACACATACACATATATAAATTATTTTTTATGATTTAAAGAGAAGAAAAATAATAGAAGATAATTGACAACCTCGCTTATCTTAAATAATCTTCTCTTAATCTTTCTCATATTATTTGTAGATATGCTCTAAAAACATGTACATTAAAAATGCACCCAAAAAAAAAAAAAATCTTTACAATTATTTTTTTATTTTTAAACAATTATTTTTTTTTAAACTTTAATTTTATATTAATACTGTCTGTACTCTCGCATTTTTTTTTTTTTTTTTATGCACAAGAGGGCAAAGATGCTCTCTCTATCTCTCAATATGGACAATGTTGTCTCTAATCTCAATTTTATCTCAATTTTATCTTATTTTTTCTCAATGCTAGTCATCCAATTTATCTTTTGGATGGTTAGTTTAAAAAGTGAATCAGTAAATAAAAAAAATAAAAAATAGAAGTTTGAAATAAAGAGGAGTCTAGGGGTTTGATTTCCATTTTTTTCCTTTTAACATCTCAAATAATTAATTATATCCACTTAATTAGTGTGAGTGACAAATGTTATCACTTATGTAAAAGAACAATACTTAGGTCCTTACTAGTATGGATTTACATTATATTCACAGTTAATGTGGACCAATAATAAATTGACACATCTATTTTAATTACTAAATCATAGATAGTAATCAAATCACTATCTATGATTTGGTAACTGGTATCTACCCATTATATTTGATTTGGTAATTAAAAATGATATATTCATTTATTATTAGTTCACCAATGCCTATGATATAAAGGATCTAAGTATTGCCCTATTTAAAATGGTATCCTCTAATTCGAATTTAAACAAATTAATAAGATTCTATCAAGTGGGTTCATTCGAGATGGTGGAGATCAATCCATCTACAATGTGGGGCCACACTGGAGCTGGATTGATTCAATAGTTCTTGGTGCATCTAAGAAGATTTTTGTTACTAAATAGAAATTGATAAAGCAGAGATAGAATTAATTTTTTGACACAATATGGAGAAAAAATGACATTTAATTGTTGTTGATTTGAATTATGTATGGCGAAAGTAACATTTTCATGTGGTCAATTTAAATATTTTAATTATTAATTTAATGTCATGTAAGTGTGATAAATATTTATTTAGATCTAACAATTCACGGTGCAAAAATCATTTCCCTTTGGCTACTTCTATTGCCATTTCATCAGTATTCCAAATCAGCTATTAAAAGAATATTTTAAAAATACTTCAAAAATATTGTTTAAATTTACATACAAGTCGCATTAAAATATTACAGATTTTAGTTGAAATTTAAATACAAGCTTGCAAGTTTGATGCCTTTTAGTTGTACACATTCTTTTTCTGAGTTTGAGAGAGAGAGAGAGTTAAATTCAAGTTCCAGTGCAACAAAAAGAATTCAACAGAAGGTGGTTGGGCCAATGGGGTGTGATAGTGAACTATTACAATTCTTTTGCATAAATTTCTGGAAGGCACAGGGGATACAGAACTTAAAGCTAAAATTCCTAGAAATTAAAAAGAAAATATAAAAAATAAAAATTAGATTTGCTTTTCCTCGGACATTATTTTCGAAAGACAGCTACCCATATTCTCTCTCATATTGTCACAAACCGGAGATGCATGTCATACAAAACAACCTCACAATTCATCCTTCGCATCACTGGCGCCGCTCTTGGTGCTTTCTTTGGCATCAGAGGCCTCGGATTTTGGAGTTGAACCCGGTTTCTCAAGCTTGAAAGGGATGGACGCGTGTTTCTTGATGAATTTGTAAAATGCCACCACTGTCCGATCAATGTCAACAGTGATCTGCTTGACCCCAGAAAGCATATATCACTAAATTTAATCTCATACAGAAGCAAGAAATGTGAAGGATAATTAAAAGACCCAAATCAGTTAGTTATATTTCTGAACACTACTTACAGGATCAGAGCTCTTTTTTCCGGCCGGGAAGAAGAGAATTGTTGGGAATCCTTCAGACTGCCAAAAAGAAAAAAAACGAGCTTTTCATGACAATCTCTTTACATTTCTATTCAGCTTTATTTTTTCTACCAAAGATCTAGCAATGATGATGCATCAATAATAGGTTGACATAATGCAAACAAGCTTTGCACCCAATTGTTCAGTTATTCTTCTTAATAGAAAAATTAGGCCCCAGGTAGTCACGGAATTAACATTGGCATAAATCAGTTTTCACTCTGGAAGATAAACTACCGAGTTGAGCATAACCGAGTATTCGGACATTTCTAAACACCAATCAGCAGGTTGACTCAGAAATTACCTTTGCCTTGGGATGATCATTTGTAGTTCCATCCATTTTGGCTATAACAAGAGACTCAATACCACGTAAATGTTTGGCAAGCTTATTGTATGTTGGCTCCAGCGATTGGCAATGCCCACACCATGGTGCATAAATCTGGATTTTTAAGACTATTAGAAAGAGGCCCATAAAGAGAGGAATGAGGAAAAGCAAATTGTTTATGGCATTCTATAATACTAGGGAACTTGGGATGATACCTCAAGGAGCACGTCTTTTGACTCATCCAAAACAATTTCATCAAAGTTATTCCCAACCACAATTTTCACATCCCCGTCATTCTATGAAAAAATCAAATCATATGGAGAGAAAGTTCAATTAAAGAAAAAATATAGTAAATTTATCAGCTAGAAAATGAATACTACCAACTCACAGTTTCAGGAACCGGATCTGACTTGTAGAAAGGTTTAAGCTTATCTTCCAGGAAATCTTCCCCGAAAGCCTAAAAGATGATAGATGAGACAAATATTTACAAATGTTTAGTTAACATAATACATATCCCAAAATGGAACAAGAAAAACAGTAGCCTAATATTCTTCCTAACCAACAACATGTTGAAGACACTGAAAACAAGAACCAAACAAATTAGGCAGGTGTTGCAACCTTGATTTTATCCAGGGTTACTTCCCCATCAAGTACAAATTTCTTAGCATCATCATTTCCTGTGTATGCAATAACCTGCAACAAATAATAGATACCAACTAAAAATTTTAATCTCACACTACATCACAAGCCGCCATTAGCTCAAAGAGATAGGAGAACAAAAAAGAAAAAAAGAAAAGAAAAACTTACCGTGGGAGTATTCCCAGTGATACCAAAATAATCTGACACCGGCCTTCCAAAATCTTCATTGTCCATTTCCACGAACACAAATATAAGCTGCAATGAATAAATATATAAATTAATTTTAGTTTATAAAAGATTTGGTTCCTGGAAGTGAAGATATTGCACTTGGATGACATCAGCAGGAAAAAGAACAGTTTAAATAGCCAATATGTATTGGCCAAGGTTGAAGGTCCTAGAAGGCAAGTTATTAAAATTAATACACGCGCACGCACACACACACAATCAATCACCGGCCTTCCAAAATTTTCATTGTCCATTTCCACGTACACAAATATAAGCTGCAATTAATAAATATACAAATTAATTTTAGTTTATGAATTTGTAGATTTCGTTCCCGGAAGTGAAGATATTGCACTTGTATGACATCAACAGGAAAAAGAACGGTTTAAATAGCCAGTATGTATTAGCCAAGGTAGAAGGTCCTAGAAGGCAAGTTATTAAAATTAAGACACACACACAATCAAACAAAATAGATACCAGAACTAAAAGGACAAACACCATTCACTGATCCAGGATAACAAAATTTAGTCATCAACAATTGAATATCCAATCACCTTGGGATTGCTCAATCTTCTGGGGAGAAAAATACGGAACCATGATTGCCACCTCCACATCTTTATTTTTACATTTCAGAGAACCCTAAAGAACCAACCCTTTAGAAATCCAATAGGAATCTTTATCAGATCCATCCAGATTTAATAAGGTCTGACTCATGTCAAGCTACCTTGATCAAATAATCACTTTAGCTATCAAGAAGATTTCGATCACATTTCTCCAACCCATCTTAAAATGTTCTAGAAAAGGAACCTTCTCCTCATTTGGACTCTAGAGTTTAAAAAAATTATTTCAGAATCCACTTCAATTCAGATCTCTGTAAAAGATATTCAACTGGCTAGAAGCAAACTATCCAGCCATTTTAAGCTTTCATATGTTTGTTCCTATCCATACTTTAGAATCAAAGCATGAAGCATTAATAACATTTTTTTGCAGCAAGTCTGCCCCTAATCTCAGGTTACCTTTCCCTTAAAGAATTTTGCAGCTTCTTGAAATATTGGTACAACCTTCCCTGAATCTTTTGAAGTGGCAAAGAGCAAGAGCTGAAAATAGAGAATTTGATACATGTCAGTACCATAACCACAAAACTGTTCAACTCCATACAACTCTGCAAGTAAATTATCATACTCAAAAGCCACAGTTATACTCCATAGTACCTGTTTCTTAATAGAACTTTCAAAAATCACAGGGGCACTTTCTCTGGTAAAAATGTTCACCAAGGGAAGTTTGTTGGCAAGTACAAATTTAGCTATGGCAGACTTCACAAATTGGCCATCTGCATTGGAAATGAAAATCTGGATATGGAAATGTTGTTTCCTGACACTTTTGAATAGGTAACTCCTAACCAGAGTAGCAAAAATGGAAACTAACCATAATGACTCAATTTCTCAGCCTCCTTCTTTAGCATGACCAAAGCGGGGCGTTTGACTTTGGGGTCCAAGTGGAAAAGCTTTGCCACATCAGGATTCACAGTTTGGTAGAAGTTCACATCGTCTTCAATTTTAGAAGCAGTAACAAGCTCATCACTCTCAGGACCCTGTAATTAATAAAGAAAATCCAAACTGAATAGTGATATTTTACAGGAATAATAAATTAATTAATTAATTAAATTAACAAAAGAATTTGTAAACCAATCGGTAGCCTCTGAGATTTTAGTAAAAATCAAGAATTTACACCAAGACATACAAATTTTCGTCTTCCAAGTTCATTTCAGCCACATTTAGACGTAACTCGTTGAGTTAGCAAATCAAATGAAAATTTAATAAAAAATGAAAATTCCGGTACTCTCAGATGGACTAATACTAAATGCTAGTAGGAGGGAAGGAAGGGGAAAGGGTGGAAAACGGGAAGGGATGGAGCATGGGCATGCTTTCATTGTTTGGTAGAAGAAAGCTGGTGAGATAAGGGAAGTGATGATGGATGAGGCATCTCTCTTGACACACCAATTTTCTTCCATCTAAATTTGAACAGAAGAGGAGAGATAAATATACTTGTTCGATAACATTGACAAGAAAATATCACCCCATTTATATTGTAAGAAGTCCTCTTCCCTTCTACTCAACCAAACAAAAGAAGGGAAGGACACATATTCTCCTAGGATCCCTCCTCCCTCCCTTCCATCCACTTTCCTATCAGTACTACTAAGAGAACTTACTGTATGTTCATGTTAGAGAAGAATTAAGAGAATTGCCCTAAAGTGTCAACAAAAATCATTTTAGTGTCACCACAATGACAAATATGAAATTCGCGCTCTTTTCTAGATGCAAAAATCATTGAATCAATGTGAGAGAACGTGAAGATTTTTCTAACTGTAACTTATGTTGTTTGTCTCTTCTCTATGTACTGGAATGAAAGAAATAAGAGGCAGTGCCAAGCTGACCACTAGTAAAATAGCATCTCAATAAATATTCCGAGAAGACAAGAGTTTGAATTATTAAAGCATAACAATCTGATCATATGAAAACATAGTTAGATTGTAACATTTAAATCCATCAACAAATTTCTTTCCAGCCACATTATTGAACAGAATACAGAATTAATTAAAATCTCTTGATTTTCAAACTTAACCAAATGCTCTCAAATTAACCTATGTTGGAAAGCATGCCAAGAACTAATGTAATATCACATTACAAGTTTATTTCATTCAATTTAAGACCATGTGAATTAAACTTTCACTAAAGTTGCCTCTCCCCTAGTTTATTTTCATGTTAGTAGTGTAGATGTAGTGTAGTAGTAGTGTAGTGCTAAGAAAACCAAAATAACACATAGGAAATTACATATGCATTAAAAATTTTAAAAAGGTATATAACCCTAGCTTTAAATAAGAAATGTAAATGATCATTAGCTCACAACTAACAAAGTTAAAAATGTCCGTCTCTGAAACTTACAAGAAACTACCATGCAATCAGAAAAAAAAAAAACTAAAGTAAGTAAATACCACCAAAGAGTTGAGGAAGCCCAAGACAACTTTGTTCTCAGAAGTCAAAACGCGCTCTGCATCCTCTGGTGTGGTTATATTGTATACACCAGGTCCAATTTTCTTCTTGATCCAAGTTACTATAGCATCTCTGCATCGCAAATAAATATAAACAAATGAGTATCCACAGAAAGCACAACTGAAAAATAACTCAATCCAAAAATTCAACTAACACTAACCATTTTATGAGCACAAAAACATCGCAACTGATGTCATAAACAATATAATTTTGAAATTATACAGAGCAAGGCACTACTCAAGCTAAAAAAATCCAAACCTTGATTACTTTTCTTTTACTCATTTCTCGTAAGGTTTCAAAATCACTGCAGCTAATTTAATTGCATAATCTGAAAAATATGCCTACACTATAAACAGATATGTATATGTGTGTGTGTGTCTGTGTGTGTATTTACTTGGTTCGTGGGCCAGGGTAAGGCTTGTGATCGCCATCAACGAAGAAATACACAGTAGGAAAGCCCTGAACTTCATAATTCTCCGCCAGCGCACTCTCCTCCGTCGCGTCCACCTTCGCGAGCGCCACCGCGTCGCCCTTCAACTCGGTGGCGGCCGCCGCGTACTCCGGCGCCAGAGACTGGCAATGGCCGCACCACGGCGCGAAGAACTCCACCATCACGTACTGGTTGTTCTCTATGAAATTGCTGAAATTCGCCTCTTTCAAAACGACGACGTCCTTCTCGTCGATCTGAAGCTGTGAGTGCTGCTCTTCATGATCGAACCCCGGGGGCACCTCGAAGTCGTCTCCGTCGTAGTAGGCGTCATCGTCTTCTTCTTCGGAGAACTGGTGTGGATCTGAGTGGTGAGTGTGCTCCGATACGTCGTCGTCGTCGTCCACTTCGAGGAAGCTGAGGTCTTCGTCATCGTCTTCGTCGGTTTTGGACTTCGATTCGTTGGAGAGAGAAGGAGTTGAGAGGAGCGAGAAGAGAAGGAGAGCTGAGATTGAGAGAAAGAGAACGAGTCGACTCGTCATTTTGTGGCGAGTTCACACTGATCAGTGCGAGTGTGAGATCTGATAGTAAGGGTTAAGGAAGACCGAAGACAGGCAAATGAGAGAGACAAGTACAGGATCAAGAAGATACGACGTCGTATACATGTCTCCGAACACGGTGCGGAATCCGGATCTAACCAGATCCGCCTGAATCTGATTGCTAATCTCAAGCTGCTCTTAATTTCCCCCTTCAAATTAGAATATTGATAAGAAAACCGAATTATGGTCCCGAATTTTTTCCGAATCTGACGTGGTTTAGCCACGTAGTTTCTTTCCATTTTCTAATTATCCTACTCTTGCATGATAAAATTGAATGAAAAATAAAAAGGGTGTTTTATATTCTTATCATAACCACGTTATATATATACAAAATTATATTTAGGAAAGTTCTCCGGCTCCATGCGGTTAAGACAATCTTGAAACTCTAATTTGATATACTTTTTTTTGTGTTTAAATTTTTTATTTTAATTTGTACAATCTTAATTTTGAATTAAGAGTTTACAATTTGACTCCTAAAATCTCATTATGAATAATCTTTTCAGATAGAGATATGATAAATTTTTAGAAAGATAAAAAGTAATTTTAAAGAGATGGAGAATAGGAAATTTAGATCCAAATCTTAGAGAGAGAGAAAGCGAAGAGAAATATGTTAATTTTTAGAAAGAAAAAAATTAAAGAGAATTTCATAAAGAGATGGAAAAGAGAGAATGTGGAAGAGAATTTCAGACCTAAATCATAAAGAGAGAAAGTAAAGATAATGATAGTGAGATTGGTAAATTTTTAGAGAGAAAAAGTGAATGAGAATTTAAGAGAAAAAAATGTCCATTTCAAATAAGTTAATCTTGGGGAGAGAAAACACGAAGGGTATGAAATGAAAATAAAGTTTAATATTGAGGTATATTTGTCTTTATATTTGTTGAACCAAATTTTTTTTTTTTTCTTGGAAAGCTGATTAAGTAATTGACTTGACAAAACACATCGATTAGATATTTATTCGGGGATAAATCTTTGAATTTTCTATCATTACTCGTCAAATTAAGACTTCGTCAAGTGTTAAAGACATATGAACAATACTTGAGTTAATGGCATATGAACATTACTAGTGAAGGGCCTAAATATTGTTTAATATTTTGTTTTTTAATTTGATTACTCACATTTGAGTGCAGGATAATATATCTTGTTAATTTACATTTTTTGATATATATACTCACAAAATTACACTATTGCTCCCACTAAAATTATTTAAAAAATTACACTATCACCCCTACTAAAATTATTAAAAAAATTACACTATCACCCCTACTCCGTTAATCTACACCATAACATGTTTGATGAATTTACTACAATGAATTTTTTTTGCTCTTGCCATAAGATGTTCATCTTAATTGCATTAAATAGAGACTAGTGGATGACTAGTTACTAAATTGGTCTCGTCCCGTGACTCCGATCATTGTAACTTAAGCCCTTAATTAATCTGTCAAAGCTGATTGTATGCTTTTCTGCTACAACAAAAATTGAGCTGGTCGAGTTTATTGTTACCTAAATCGTTGATCAATCTTGTTTAATGGGTGAACTTAATTTGAATTTTTTTATTTTTTATAATTAGAAGATCAAATTACTAAAAAGAATATAGCGATTTATATAAAATAATTTATCAAACAATTTGATGGCAACGAGTTGAACTGATCTACTTATTATGATTTAATCCCTTGATATATATATTTTTTCATGTTAGGAATTAACGGTTAGATAGAAGGATGCAAAATTCGAAGACGAACTTCCGAACACAAAGAACAATTCAACCATTCAAAAACTTGATTTAATTTTTTTTTAAAACTTGATTTAATTTTCTTATCTATACAACCAAAACATTGTATTACCAAAAGAATCTAGTATTTTATAATAAAATAATTCATCAAAACCTTCTTATACTTTAACTTTGTTTCTGTATGATGAGCCACGAGCTCATTGAAACCGCACCGACCACAAAATTGTCGCGATGTCTCTTTTGATTCTCTGGATACAGAAAACATAATATGCATCGACCCCAATTAAAATAGACCAAAAATATTGAAAAATCATTTTAAAATACTTTACAAAGGGACAAATAAACCGGTCAAAATTGAAAGTTCAGTTTAAGAAATAAGTGTAAATTTAATCTGGAAAAAGATGATCCATTCATTTAAGGTAGAAACACTTCCTCCAAACAATTACAAAAACTATTGAACTCGAACTCATTATCGAGCTAACAAACAATTACAAAAACTTGAAATCAGATCCCAGAGGGAGCTCTCCTCACGCGAAAGGACACACTGATAGTTCTTAACCAAGTTGCTCATACAACTATTCTTCTATTACTTCAAATACTAACAATAATAATTACAATCAAGGTGATGATGTACAAAGCAAAGAGCAACAATTACTGAACTAAAAAACAACAGTCTGATCATCCAACCAGTTAAAAGCATCGATATTGAATCAGAATGACATTCATAGACTTTCTTATGAACTTCAAAATGTAAGGAATATCTATAGCACAAACCCTAGAACTAATATATATATATAAGAAAATAAAAACAAAAATAAAATGAAAATTCATCCTTACTCATCTACAGCATGCCTATTGATGGGTTGGTGTGGTGATGGAACATCACTTTCTGGCATATCTTGAGCCTAGTTAGTGTTACCACCAGCCATGTTCGGAGAATAGCTATTCTGGCATTCCCTGTTTTTCCCTGGACCAGGCATTTCTCTGCTTTGGTAAGACATGCCTCCACTGTTATGTCCATTTGAGGATTGGAAATTTGCCGCATTATTGGACACCCCTCCCATGTTGTGTGGCAGCACCCCTCCGTTGTATGGTGGCATCCCTCCAATATTATTGGGAGGCACTCCACTCCAGTTTGGTACTCCTACCATATTATTTGCCTGCATTCCACTTAGATTGTAAGGCAGGCCTCCACCATTATATCCGTTCCAATATTGAAAATTTGGTGCGTTATTGGGCATCCCTCCCATGTTGTATGGCTGCATTCCCCACATATTGTTGGGCTGCACTCCTCCCCAGCTGGGTGCTCCTGCCATATTATTTGCTTCCATTCCACCCCGATTGTAAGGCATGCCTCCGCCGTTGTGTCCACTCTGATACCGGAAATTTGGTGCGTTATTGTGCGCCCCTCCTAAGTTATATGACTGTTCCCACATGTTGGGCTGCAATCCTCCCCAGCTGGGTGCCCTTACCATATTATTCGCCTGCATTTCTCCCAGATAATAAGGGTTGCCTCCATTATTTTGTCCGTTCCAGCACTAGAAATTTGGTGAGTTAGGCACCCCTCCCATGTTGTTTGCTGGCACACCTCCCATGTTGTATGGCAACATTCCCCCCATGTTGTTGGGCTGCACTCCTCCCCAGTTTGGTGCCCCTACCATATTATTTGCTTGCATTCCAACCAGATTGCAATGCATGCCTCACTGTTATGTCCATTCCAGTATTGGGAATATGGTGTGTTATTGGGCACCCCTCCCGTGTTGTTTGGTGGCACAACTCCCGTGTTGTTTGGTGGCATTGCTCCCATGTTAGGTGCTCCTCCTATATTATCCGACTGTATTCCTCCCACGTTGGGTGCTGCTTCCGTGCTATTTGCTTGCATTCCTCCCATGTCGGGTGCTCCTCCCATATCATCCGACTGTAATCCTCTCACATTCGGTGCCGCTTCCATTCTGTTTGTTTGCATTCCTCCCATTTTGGGTGTTTCTCCCATATTATCTGACTGTATTCCTCCCACGTTGGGTGCCGCTTCCATGCTGTTTGCTTGCATTCCTCCCATTTTGGGTGTTCCTCCCATATTATATGACTGTATTCCTCCCACGTTGGGTGCCACTTCCGTGCTGTTTGCTTGCATTCCTCCTATGTTGGGTGCTCCTCCCATATTATCTGACTGTATTCCTCCCACATTGGGTGTCGCTTCTGAGCTATTTGCTTGCATTCCTCCCATGTTAGACCAACTTCCTGTTTTACTGGATGGCATTTGCATATCAAGTGCACCTTCTGCATTAGAGGGTGGCACTTCTGCCATACTGTGCTCAGGGTTCTGCGTACTTAGATTAACCGTAGGAGTTTGAGAATCTTGTTTCTGCACTATTTCGTTTCTTTCAAGGTTTCTCATGTTCCGATTATTTCTCCGATTAGCGTTCCTCACCCACTCCTTGTGGTACTTGGGGTCATACGGTACAACCCGCCCATTAATAAAAGGTTCCCCTGCCAATGCAAATCAAATCAAGAGATTACAAACACTAATACATGCTTAACACTAGAAAAAGCTAAATTCTAGTCAAGAAAACCAGCATGCGAACCAGGTACCAAATTATCGATGGGACAAAACAGATGGAAATTATTATCAGTGGATGACAAAATGGCTGCAGATCTGTTATGAACAGTTCAATCACACATGACAATAACTATATAGCTTTTCTTTTGGCTAGATGAAAAAACCATGAAAGAGTACAATAAGGCACAACCATTATAGATGCAATGTTACTTTTTATTTCCTCTTTTCAAATAATTTATCTTTGCAAGCATTCCTAGTGTACATCACCCCAAAAGTCTCATCTGTGTTTCTCTTGTTTCCATGATTACCCCTCTTTGCAGTATCTTAAATATGAAGCAGTTAGAAATCTAGGATATATTTGGTTCAATTCTCCAAAAACCTTCTCTCTCCGTTTGGATAACTACAAGGGAAAAGAAAGGAAATGATAACATTAGTTAGGAAGAAAGTGTTAACCTTTTCTCTTGGAAAATTAAGGAAGGAAAAAGGACAGTGTAGAGAAAGAAAAGAAAAGTATTTGTTTTATTCTGTGTAACAAGGGAAAGACATAAATTCCCTTGTTCTAAAAAACGAACAAAACAGATAATTACCAACTCTCCTATCATTTCTTTCCAAATTCTCCCACTCTTGGAAAGATAGCCAAAAACACTAGTCAAAGGTTAGGCTATTCCCTTTTCTCCCTCTCAATCCTCTCCTTTCCCTCATTTTCAAAACAAACCCAAAATAAGCAATTCCTCCTCCCCCTCCTTTCCTTTCTCTCCACTTTCCTCAATCCAAACAAGGTGTAAAATCACTTCTTTTTAACTTTTAAGTCAGTTCAGAGAACAATTTCCAAAACACTGTCACCCAATTGAGTTTTCAAATGTTTTAGACTGAAAACTAAGCAAGCAAGCCCCTAGTTAAGGGTAAATTTTCTGATGCCATGGCATCACCAACACAAATTAGTCATCTTCTCATGGTGAGATTTGTTCATGGAGTTTTGCCTGATGTTTAACATTAGCCGTCTTCCTTACTCAGTCTCCCTCTTATTAGATGAAAGGCCAGCTATATGAACAATGCTAGATATACCATAGCCAGAGGTGACCCTCAAGTTGAAGGCCCATATTGAATTTCTTTCCAGAAATTAAATTAACTCAAATAGAATGTCGGTAGGTTGTAAGAAATAATTGAATGGCTTTTTTTCGTATGCAGCCTCGCAAAGAGTAGATTTTATATTCTAGTGCTAGTGAGTTGAGCTAATCAATCCTAATCTTGTGTTAGTAAGTGTAACACGTTGCCATTGCAGCTTAAATTTTAGCCCACCCAGTTTAAAATCTATTACTTTGGTGATTAAGCATCTGCACTCCAAATTTCAAACTTAAAATCTTCAAATACTTTCAAAATATAGCACTTGCGACAATAAAATAACAAATTTAGACCAAGAGGAGAAATTACAATACAGAAAATGCAGATAAAGATTTCATATGTGATAGTAGTACATGTTAAAACATAAAAGATCGGATGATAAAAATTAATCCACAAGAAATTGACATGTTGACCCATTTACTATATTTATTAAGTATAACCCCTTCCACATTCCAACTACAACTCAGAACTCAAATGCGTAGTTTACTCTCTTCTGTTTCCATTTTTATAGGTAAAATGTGTTTTTCTTTTTTAAAACACATGGTCTGGCAAATGTAAATGATTGCAGATATGACACCATATAAAGAAACATCAAGCATCTTGGAGATATTTGTTTATTTGGTACCCAAAATGGCATAAATGACGCAGAATATCTGCTTCTGTGTATAAGTAAATTGCAATTATTAAGTTTGAGACCTAAAATACAGTAAATACCACTTCAAATGTATACATGGTAAAAGACCATTTATATATATTTGATCCGTATATTTTTTCATGAAACCATACCAAATTATTATTATTTATTTTTTTGATAAGTAAAATCCCTACCAAATTAATCAATCACAATGTTTTTATGTATTGACAAACTACGAGTAGAGTCTATTGTTCATGAAAGTTCACTATGATGGGGTACATCATAGTCATAACAGGCACATTGGAGGTCTTTATACCTATCCTACACTTTTATTAAGACTCAAAAAGGGAAGGTCTCATGAAGAACCTGACAAGTCTGCGTGACATTGGTTTCGTTCTCGAAATATTAAATAATCATTTCAGCTAAGTTTCTCGAAAAGTACTACATATTTAAAGTAAAAAGGGCAAAAAAAAAAAAAAAAAAAAAAATCTAACCGGTACAGAAACAAGCATGTAAAGATAACCCAATGAGATATGAGATCAACCAAAAAACAAGAAAAGGGGGAAAAAAAAAAGAAAAGAAAAAAGAATTGTTTTCAAAGGTTATGAATGAACAAGCTCGTCCCTATTACACAAATTTATCCCCCAAAAATGTGTGGTGTGTGTTTCTCAAGTTCATAAAATTATGAATCAAAATACAAAATAAAATCATTCCAAACAACCAAGGAAAAAAAAAACCTCCTCTATTGCTATATAAAACCGGGTGAGAGAATATTAAATTTATGGGACATCAAAATGCCTCCCTAGTAGACCATACAGTTCCATACCTCCATAATCTTTTTTCTTAGCATCCAAGTAAGAATAAGGGAGCACGTGACGAACTCTCGGCAGATCTGCACAATATTTGAACAACCCATGCTTAGAAATCCCAATTTCAATAAACAAAAGCAGAAACCAAGCATCAAGTACATGAAGTACCTTTGATCTTGTATGAAAGTTCTTCAGATACAAGGGCTCCAAATGACCAACAGGCCTGTGGCCCAGCGGTACAAGTCTCCTACTTCCCAAAGGGAGGTCAGGAGTTCGAACCTCAGTGGAGGCAGTGTGTGTGAGTCCCAACTAGGAAAAAAAAAAATACAAGGGATCCAAATGCATAATAGTGTCTAGTTGAGACAGAGTAGATTTTCATCCTTGCTTCTTCCTCGCTGAAAAACACAATAGGCACAATCAATAATAAACATCCAAAAAAAAAAAAAACAAAACGTGACCTCAGGAAATAAGAGAATAAAACATAAAATATTAGAAACACAATAAACAAAAAATTGTTATGCCCTAACAAAGGCATTAAACTAGGAAGAGAACTTATTTGCTCCTGGTCAATCAAACACATTTCCCCTTTCATCCTTGAAATGGAGAGGGCTGTTCCAGAATATATTATTAGCAAAAGCTTCAATTCTCAATAAAATTCAGTAACATGGTATATGAAATTCGTTATTTGGAAACCAAGAAAACCGTGATCCATGCAGCTGAGCAGATAAGTTGCTTTCTAACATTGTAGAGGACAATACATTAAAATCTGTAACATATATTCACCCAATTAAGAGAAAATAAAAACTAATCAAACACAATTACACAAAGCACATCCAACATAAATTACACAAATCCCAAGTTTTAAGATCATAAAAATGATTTTAAAAATATATTAAGTCAGGTTCAACATCAAAACAAAAAAAATTCCCCCAAATTTCATCTTTTTGAAGATCAAAACAATATATATACATACACACACACATATATATATATGATCCAAAGTTTTACTTCCTTTAAGAAAAATGATAAAAAGACTATGGTTTGTTTTTAGTTCTGTTTTAGAATTTTTCATTTAAATGAAAAAGATTAAGTACTGAGGTGAAATTTTTTTGATAACATTTGAAATGTAACTTATTCGTGGTATTAAAGATAACATATACACACACACTCACACACACACACATTATAATCATTTATAAAAGCAACACAAAAACATCATGAAAAATACCAACATCAAAATACAAAAATCAAAAGGAACATAAAGAAAAATTCAAAAATAAGAAGTCACTTGTAATGTTTCAGATGAGAGAAAGGCTGAAAACCCTGAAGTATGGGCTCTCAACATTCTGATTATATATATATATTCCAAAGTTTTACTTCCTTTTACATCTCTCATCAACGGGGAAAAGAAGAGAAATTTTTACCGACTAATCGTCATATAAGTAAAAAGTTGCAAAAGGCCGATACAATTGCATACGGGCCTGTGATTGTCCGGGACATGTACTAGTAATAATTTATCAGAAAAGAGGCTGAAAATTACTGGAAAAAAAAAATTAAAACGTTAATCCAAACCTTCCAACAACCATGGCTAGGGTTTTGATGTAACTATCGATGATCTTGTCCCTGGAAGTGTCGTCCTCCTCTGGTTGGTCCATCACAACAAGCCAGTGCTTGAAATCGTAATCACCAAGGAGGAACGACTCGGGTGGCGGACGATTGGAGTGTTTAGGTCTTGAGTCCTCCAGATGCAATGGCGTCCGACAAGTTGAGCAACATCGGATTGCAGTCGCCGAGGGTGAGAGTTGGCGGAAACTGGCGGAGATGGCGCCAATAGGCGGGCGTAGATGGAAAAGAGAGGAAGGAAAAAATGGGCGGTTAGATAGAGAAAGAGAGGTGCGGGAGCAAGAGGGGAGAGAAGAAGAGAGGAATTGTTTGGTGGTGTGGAAAGAGCGAGTGAAGTGACGAGTCGCCATGACGTGATCGTCAGGACTGGGTTTTTTTTAGAGGGGTTTATGCAGATATTGAAGACTCGGGGAAAGAAAATAAAAGATACTGCAATATATACCGGTAAAGTGCAAAAAAAAAACATCTTTAAAGTATATTTATAATGCATATCACACCTCTCTTGTGCAAAAAACATCCCTCAAGTTTCAATTTGGTGCAATTAAGTCCCTCTGAAAAATTTAAAACTGAACTTAACTAAAGTGCCCTTAATCAACAATTTTATAAAACATATAAAAATACAAAAAATTGTAAAAAGACCAAAAAGGACTCTGCAAACCCTGTTCGGTTTCTTGGGCTTCAGTTTTCACGATCAGTTTTGATAACTTTGAACCGTAGGATCAAGTAATACTGTGATCGGATGATCCAGATCACGATTTTGATAACCATGAGTGTAGGGGGTATGAATGGCACCTAACTGGCATCACCACGGACACTCCCTTCTTAGCCATGAGATCAACCTGCTTCTTGGCGGATTTAAGTGTTCATCAAACCTCCACAAGAAAATGAAGAACATATTCAAGATATAAATCAATCATAATGGCCGAGGACTTTCGGCGAAGGTGGTGCCGGCTGCCAGAAGTTACACTCTGCAAATATATAAGGAAATCCGGCAGCGGCTCCCGTCGCCGCCGACGACAAACACCTTCGCCGATAACGACGACAACCTCGACAACCCAACGGCGGCCACACCGACACGACATCTTCGCGTTTCTCTCTCCTCTTATTAACGACTTTCATCTCCACCGATGACGACGACGACCTCGACGCCACTGCAATTTTTGTGTTGAGAGGGGAAAGAGAGATGAAGTGGAGATGGGTCAAAGCTGATTTGGAATTCTCGTCCGAGTTGGACTCGGGGTGAAGCTAAATTGTAAAATAACAAAGCCTTCCATGGGTTGTGAGCTTCAATATATACAAGACCCAATCGGTGAAGCAACTCCGGCGACCATGAACACCGGCGAGACTCGAGAGCTTATTCAATTTTAAGTTCTCTGTAAGAGCTATGAGTTGCCGATGCGAGCACCAAACGCCGGACTTCAACGCCGTCGAATCTGCGTCATCGCCGTCGGCTGTGTAGTCGCCGTCGAATCTGCTCTCCGGGGCTCTGCGTCATCGCCGACATCTTCTTCGACTTGTCGTTACGTGCGAATTGGGTATCTTCAATGCGATCTTGAACGATGACCATCAAATCCAAACCCCAAATTGAAAGCCAAAAACGCACAACACGGCCACCGATCTTGATTTGCTGGTGGCGGCCATGGGTTTACCAAATCATCCTCAATAAATCGATCTACGGCAATGGCGGCGACGACATAATTTCATGCCCTTCAACACGCGTCGGTTACTGCAAATCGCGTGTTCTTCACGCCGCAGCAATCGTCTTATTCCTCAGAGATTATGACGGTGGCTAAGTTGGTATCGATGCCACAGACACCATTGGGCCAGGCTTCGATATGACGGTGGATAGACCACCGTAGGTGAGAAGAGGGTTTGTGGGTCCTCCAACACGGACCGGGTTGTTGTCGCCGGACTTCTTGGCGAAGGTTCTCTGATTCGCAGCCACCTTGTATATATATAGATATGTGTGTGTGTGTGTGTGTGTGTGTGTATGGATGAGATTGATGGGTGGAGTTGAGGGGTGAATTATGGTGTGAGAAGAAGATGGTGGTAGAAGGAACCGGCAGCAGAGATTAGAAAGAGAAGTATGGGTATTTTTGGAAGACTAAAAGGGCAAAATGGGTATTACAGTAACAATTTAGGGGTGTTTATTGCACAGAGAGGTAATTTTGCACAATTTCAAAAGATTAAGGGTATTTATTGCACACCTTTTCAATTAGGGAGTAAAAATACTACAAAAAATATACTTGTTTTTTCTGCACTTTCCCCATATATATATATATTTGTTTTTTTTTTTTTTGGGTAGACCCCTCATTGGAAAATGATTATTTTAGACTTCAATAAAAAATTTAAGATTATATTACAAATGATAAATATTTTTCATCCCACATCGCTCGTTAATTTTTCGTAGGCTAGTTTATCTCTTTTAAAAAATATAAAGATGCTTACCATAATAGTCAACGCAGAAGTCAAACTTTATATTCATTTTTAATTCGAATTTACCAAAAATATATATATAAAGCAGAAGAACCTAGACTATTCAAAAATTTTATACCGTATTTGTTTGTGCATCGATCATTAACAGTTGTAATCTAATTCTTTTTGTGGTATAGAATACTAGAAGAATTACTTCAACACTGAAGCCCATTAAAGTAATTCTCTTTTACAATGTATCAGGCAATTCATCGTGACTAATTTCGTTTACAGGTGCTTTAATTTTTTTTTTGGAATAATTATTCATAATCTTAAACTCTAAGTATGCAAACATAATCATAAAATTTGGAGTTATAGCTTGAGACCAACATATAAGAATTATTTACATATCATTAGATTCTTTTCATGGTTAATTATACACAGTTTCAATATATAAATATAAACAACACACAGAGCGCTTATGAATAGCTGGCATAAGAACAGTTCAAGAAAATCTATTCATAATGGGTCCATGGGAATGTAAATGTTTACTTTCTCTAAGTTCAATGCAAGAATATTAAATTGGTAATGTTAACGGAAATAAAATAAAAAAAAAAAAACATTTTCAATTGGAACAACAAAAAATGAAAATGTGGACATTTAAGCATGTTTGGTATGCGTTTTGTTTTTGGTGTTTTTGTACTGTAGCAGTGAATAATGAAAAAAATATGTTTAGTAAAAAATGCATGTTTTATTTTGCAGTGCAGAAACATTTCGTGAATAGTGGCCAAAAATCGAAACACGGATTTGGTGATTTTATATGTTTTTGCACTATAGTGATTGGTACTGTAGCAATAGAAGTAATTAAAAAAAAAAAAAAAAAAACTCATAAAGACATTTTTAAACTAACCATTATATTTTTCAAACTTAGTAATAATTTTTTACTAAATATGTTTTTACGTTTTACAATTCAAAACAATTTACAATAAATTACTTATTTTATTTCAGGTTCAGAAGGTAATTCCCATCTTACCCTATTACAATTCTATGTTGGCAATGTTCGTCAAAATTTGTTTTTGCGAAGTTCAAGAAAATTCATGTAGAAATGACTTTACAAGAACGTTCAGAAGGTAATTCCCATCTTACCCTATTACAATTCTATGTTGGCAATATTCCATCTCTTTAAAAACTCTTCTTTTTCTGTGTCTAAATTTGTTTTTGCGAAGTTCAAGAAAATTCATGTAGAATATGAGATTATGAATTTACTGCTTCTGATCTACATGAATCCGCCATGAACGGCAACGCAGGGCTTTGTGCTCAACAAATTCAAGAAGTTTATTTCTCGGAGCAGAATCTCCTGTCGCAACACCTCCTCCTCAACCGCAACAGAAAGCCTTTGAATCTGAGCCATTCGACGGAATATAAAGATGGCTCGATTATGGTCGGATTTATTATGCTACACCAACCAATTTAGCGTCTGTCACCCGTGTGGATTATGCATTATGGTATTGGGATAAAATCGTAATTATAAGAGACTGAAAGTTAGCACCCACCTTTCAATACGTTGTAAGTACAAAATCGAGAAAGTAATCAATAAGGACAATAATTTGTTTTATTTGTTTTTCTCGAATAAATTCAACCATCCTTATTAATTTTCTTAGAACAGTACGTAGGAATAACCTATTCACGGACAAGTCTTGCCCCTATAATAAAATAATTCAACACCTTCTTAAACTTCTCGTACCTTTTATCTCTCATTACATCTACTCTAGTTTATCACCCACTTTTGATTCCCCCATTTTGGATACAGAAAACATAATATGCATCAACCTTAATTAAAAATGTGCAAATATAGAAAAATTATACCGTATTAAAATACGGATAAACTGATCAAAATTGATAGTTCAGTTTGGCCAGGTTTCAAAATGAAAGATACATAAAAGTTTGATGAGTACTTGTAATTGTATTCTAAATCAAATTTAATATGAATTCTGATCATTATCCTCTACCAAATCATCACATGTGTGCGTGTGTTGACATGTACAATCAACCAAGAGGGTTAAAAAGTGCTTAAAACTGATAGACGTGGACTAAATGATTCTGTAGATATAAAAAGTGAAAAAGCTTCCATACTGAGTCAGAATGACATCCATGGACTTTCTTGTGAACCTCAAAATGTAAGGAATATCTATAGCATAAACCCTACAACTAATAAAAATAATAATAATAAAAATAATAATAATAACTCATCCTTACTTATCTACAGCATGCCTATTGATGGTTTGGTGTGGAGGGTGAACATCACTTTCTGGCATGTCTTGAGCCTGGTAAGTGTTACATTTCCTATTTTTCCCTGGACCAGGCATTTCCTTGTTTTGGTAAGACATGTCTCCACTGTTATATCCATTCGAGTATTGGAAATTTGTCGCATTATTGGGCATCCCTCCCATGTTGTGTTGCGGCACCCCTCCGTTGTATGGTGGCATTCCCCCCATATTATTGGGGGGCACTCCTCTCCAATTTGGTACTCCTATATTATTTGCCTGCATTCCACTCAGATTGTAAGGCATGCCTCCACCATTATATCCATTCCAATATTGAAAATTTGGTACGTTATTGGGCATCCCTCCCATGTTGTACAGCTGCATTTCCCACATATTGTTGGGTTGCACTCCTCCCCAGCTGGATGCTCCTGCCATATTATTCACCTGCATTCCTCCCGGATAATAAGGGTTGCCTCCACTATTTTGTCCGTTCCAGCACTGGAAATTTGGTGAGTTATTGGGCACCCCGTTGTTTGCTGGCACACTTCCCATGTTGTTGGGCTGCACTCCTCCCCAGTTTGGTGGCACACCTCCCTTGTTGTTTGCTGGCACACCTCCCATGTTGTTGGGCTGCACTCCTCCCATGTTGTTTGCTGGCACATCTCCCATGTTGT